TCACTCATCACTCATTTACTCACTCCCTCATTTACTCACTCCCTCACTCAGTAATGCACTCACTTATGCATGCACTCACTCATCCATTCACTTATTCACTCACTCCTGCACTCACTCACTCACTCACGCACTCACTCACGCACTCATTCACTCATCACTCATCACTCATTTACTCACTCCCTCGTTTACTCACTCACTCACTAACTCACTCACTCACTCACTCACTCACTCACTCACTCACTCACTCAGTCATGCACTCACTCACTGCCATCGAGTTGATTCCAACTCTTAGTGATCCTATAGGACAGGGCAGAGCTGTCTGTGGGTTTCTAAGACCGTAACTCTTTATGGGAGTAGAATGCCTTGACTTTCCCCCATTATGGGAGCAGGTGGCCTCACTTTTCTCCTGCAGGGTGACTGGTTTTCATCCCTGACCTTAAAGCTAGCAGTAAAAGGCTTGCCTGTCAGTGACCTGGCAGTGCTCCCCAGGTAGCACCATATTCCTCATATGATGATTCTTAACAGAATAAATTCTGGTGTTTACCAACTGATTATATCCCAATCCCAACATTTCTTTTACATTAGCTTTCTTTTTAAATATTTAAGTACTTTCTACAGAGAGTCTTGGAATTCAGAAAATGCTGGCATTCTTAAGGATTTAAGCTCTTATGTTGAATTCCTGGCTTTCAGAACTATTGTCTTTGAAATTCCAAGCTGAGTTAAGTGGTCTTTGTTACAGGTGAACTGAGTACCATTCAGCTCAGGGTGGAAAGCCACAGGGTCACGGAATTATTTTAAGCTAGGAAAAACTCTTAGGCTTAAAATGTCTGACTAGGTTTTGCTATTAAAATTTTCAGTGGTGTAAGGCTTCATATTTGTTATATCTTTGTAGGCATTTTAGTATAAAACTGAGTGAAATTACGATTAAAAACAACTATGGGATATGTAATATTATCATGTAAGTATTTATGATATGATATTGCTTAAACAGATAATAAAATGCTGCCAAACTGCTGCCAAATGATTAATGGCTATACAACTACACCCCCAAAGTTCAAAGGAACTTTAAACCTCTTTTTCTGCTTTTGGGTAGAATAATTCATTCCTCCTCCCTCTTCACAACCAGAGACTAATATGTCTAATTTTATTAACTCATCAGAGCTTGTACAAATATTACTTTGTAATGTCAATCCAGATTCTGCCCACATTGGGGAGTTGGAATTGATGCATGTGTATTTCATATTACACGTTTAGCATTTCAAATTTAGTGATTTTTTTTGTTTGTTAAGAGTGAACTTCTGTCTGCTCCTCTGTCTATATTGTCCTAGAGCAGAGGTTCTCAACCTGTGTGTCGCAACCCCTTTGGGGGCTGAAAGAACCTTTCACAGGGGTGGCCTAAGACCATCCAAAAACATGCATTTCCGATGGTCTTAGGAACCGCGACACCGCTCCTCTATTGGTCTTCCGGTGGGTCCACCCACATGCAGATACACTCACATAAGTACCCGGTGTGAAGACTTCCGTGCTACACCATGCTTCCAGACAAATTTCATTTATTTGTCATTCGAAATAAATATTTCACAATATAGAATTGCATATTGTTTTTGTGATGAGTCCCTATGCTTTGATGATATTCAATTTGTAACAATGGAAATATCTCCTGAATATCAGATAGTTACATGACGATTCATCACAGTAGCAAAATGACAGTGATGAAGTAGCCGCGACAATACTGTTATGGTGGGGGGTGTCACCACACATGAGGAACTGTATTAAGGGGTCGTGGCACGTGGAAGGTTGGGAACCCCTGGCCTAGAGGGAGGAGGTGCTTTGCTTTCGTAGGCCATAAATTCTGTAACACCTTCAAGGCTTGGCATATTTCCGGATCAAAAACATAGCAGTGCGGTGACCTGGCAGATTCTTTCAAGAGACGTGTATGTAGAAGGGAGAAAGATGAGGCTTTCTGCTTCTGTAAAGATTTACAGTCTAGGAAACTCACACGGCAGTTCTGCTCTGCCCTAAAGGGTTGCTTATGAGTCAGAATGGACTCGTTGGCAGTGAGGGTTTTGTTTTTGGGGTGTGTGTGTGTTCATGCTGTTGTTCTTATCAGGTGCCAATGAGTTGGCTCCACGTCATAATGGCCTGTGTACATCAGCACAAAGCTGCCCGCTCCTGTGCCTGCCTCACTGTCTCCCTGTGCTCAGGCCCATCGTTGCCTGTGTCCATCCAGCTCAGTGAAAGCCTTCCTCTTTCCCTGTGCCTGCTGAAACTGCTCTCTCCTGACATGTCCAAAGGACGTGTGGTGAAGCCTGCCAGCCTCGCCTCCAAGGAGCTTTCAGGTTGTGCTGCTTCCCAAACAGGGCCCGTGGCACTTTCAGCGTCGCCTCCAGCACCGCCCTTCAGACCCACCCCTTGTCTCTGGTCTTCTGTATTCACTGTCCAGCTTTCACTTGCATCTGAGGCCGTGGAGAAGATCACGGCTGGGGCCGGCACACCTGAGTCCTCAGAGTCACCTCTTTGCTTTTTGACACTTCAAAGAGAACATGGGCAGCACATTTACCCATTTTGGGGTGGGGGGGTGGGGTAGCAGGGAATAGGAAACTAAATTTCATTTAAACACAACAAAAAGGAAAATTGGAATTTCCCTTCTTCATTATGAAGATTAGTCCCAAAAGCAGCACGGTTTAATGGCTAAAGTCTCCCAACTTTTCTCTTTCCACCAAGTTCTCCTCTTTTATTGACTGATCATGTATTTGAAATCTGAACTAGAAAAGAAAAAACACAATTATACTTACACATTGGGATTTGGATGCATTATCTCCACTGAGTGAATGTGGTATTTAGCACAGCCTCATACACCCCCTTTGCACTTAAGTTCCAGAGAAACGCAGCTTGCTTATCTTGACTTGTGTTGTTGGTTTCTGTGGCTCAGCGTACAATGGCGATTGTCATGGACTTGAAGAGACGTTGTCTTAAGAAAATTGTGTGTTAGGGATTAAAGAATAATGGATTTATGTATTTTTTCCCAACCATAACATAGACAATTTCTTATTTTTATGTTCTGAACAACTGATTTTTTTACAGCGATAGAGCCTTCTTGTGACGAGGATGAAGGAAACTTCCGTCCAGTGTTTCCTACTCAAATCTCTCCAGAAGAGTATGAAACCCACGCAAACTCTGCCACCCAAGGTATGCTTAAATTTGTGCGATTACATCTATATGGGTGTGTACTAATTCTAGTATATACATAGCTATTCACAGATGAAATGATTCAATATCATTTAATCCAGAGAGGGGTAGAAGTGAGTAATTTTCCAGATGAAGCAAAATTGGTCATGAGCTGATTATTATTGAAGCAAAGTGTTGGGGAGTCTTTGTGTCATGCTCTCTGCCTTTGGATGTGTGAATTTTTAATAGTAAAGAGCTTTCAAAGCTGACTGTATGTGACTGAGGACCATCTGACATTAGCAAAGAAGAGAATTATATAAAGAATGATGACTATAGATGGCTGTCATTGTTTCCCAAGAACATACGCTATTGTTAGTCATTGAAAGGGAAAATTAATCCCCACTCCTGTATGAGTCTAATGGATCCAGCGTGAGTCATGTGCCTACTTGGGGTGCTGGTCCAGCCAACTCACCCAGCCCATCAAGAGCTGGGGTCACGGTAGGACTACGCCAACTCTGCTTCAAGATCATCAGAGCTGGGTGATAGGTGACATTTCTTGAGAGAGAATTCTGCACAGGTAATGCATGGGGTTTGTTTCTCCATAATTTATTAAGAACGTATGTTACAGAAATTTTATTATTCCAAATGTAGACCTAGTTGCACTTAATTTTAGTTATGTTAATATTTCTTAAGAATATATAAACTGCAATTGAATGAATAAACTTTATATTTCAACTTAAAAGACTATATGCAACTTGTGCTATGGGGAAAAATGATACGTTGTATATATAATGTGCCTACTCACCAAAAAATTCCCCCCAAAACCAACAACTCATACTTTTAATTATTGGTAGTTCACTAAAAAAATACTTTATTTAGTTGATTAAAAAACAACATCCCAATTATAAAGCATAGATTTATTTTTTCCTAGGAACTTTTAACCTAAATTTGAGTAAAATTTCAAATCCAGAGATTATACCACTTTCCTAGCCAGCTGTTGTCATTAAGATTAATTCCTTACTAAGTCTGCGCTGGGTCTTTGTTATCTCGTTATAAACAAATATACCAGGGAACTAGCTCTCGTAATTAAAAAAAATAAGTGATGTAACCTCTCACAGAACAAAGGTACCTTTTAAGTAAACCTTGTCTGGACTGAGATACTGCTGATGTGCTTTTCCTTTTGTCCTTTACGTTCATTCCCGTGGGGGATTGACTCTATTTGT